GTATTATCATTGCACGCATTATTTGGTGTGTTAAATAATTTATCTTCATCTGAACTTAAGAAAATAGTAAACAACATAAATAATCTATGATATACGTACAGAGCCAATCAAAATGGAACCACTGGCATTCTTTACAAATATATCCATCTCTACTCCCTGATCAAATGGGGGGTAAGTCCCTGGCGCCTGTGTGCTTGATATTGCTGGATCCTGGAAAAGTACAATGACATTTTTAAGAACATTGACTTAAATAAAAAAAAAACATAACTCAACGTGCAACTCTTTCTGAAATATTCCAAAGTGCATCGGAATAACAAGCATTACTGCGGAGGATTTTAGGTTGGCCAGGTAAAATGACTTTCCCGTTTGTAGTTTTTTTTAATCTAAATCAGAGATGGGGTATTCTCTTTAAATCCTTAAAGAATGCAGTTACACAGTCCTAGCAGTCAACGCCAGACAAGCCTGCCATTTTTTTCCAGGCAGAAAAAAAAAATCAAGGAAACATCTAAATACAATATGCTGAATAATTAAGGTAAAAAGAAAAGAATTTGAAATGAAAAGTATAAAAGAGAAACAAATTCTAAAAGCTGTTTATATTATTATGTACGATCCCTTCATTCTAATGCTTGATTAGGAATTGAAAACCCAACAGAATGATGCTATAGTAGACAATAGAGTTTTGCAGAAAAACATAATTTGTACAACATTCCTGTTTGACATCAACCCAGGAATACGCACTTACAGCCATAATGATGAACCTTTGCTGATTATTGTGAAGGTCTTCAACAATATTGGGCAGGTCAGCATACCTCTGTTTATCGTACGTCCAATCTCTACGGTCAGTCATGTAGTCTATGTCGCTCCACTGAGTATCCTGAAAACAATGATAATTAATTTGGACTAAAAATATTGATGTTGTGAGTTGACATAAGAAACTCAGCAAGAAAGTTGAGATCAGTGGATAAAATGATCCTATGTATAAAATGTTTAAAGAGGAGTGGAGATTACAACTATGTCTCATCATAAAAGGAATACTAAATAAACAAGATTCAGGGTCAACTTTATTGTGCACCACAAATCTTAAGAAATAGAAATACATAATTTAGATATTATCAGCGCTTTGTTGGTCCAATATATAATGTGCAGGAATGGCATTCTAGCACCTATTTCAATAGAACTTAATGTGCAGGAATGGCATTCTAGCACCTATTTTCAATAGAAAATGTGCAGGAATGGCATTCTAGCACCTATTTCAATAGAACTTAATGTGCAGGAATGGCATTCTAGCACCTATTTTCAATAGAACTTAATGTGCAGGAATGGCATTCTAGCACCTATTTCAATAGAACTTAATGTGCAGGAATGGCATTCTAGCACCTATTTCAATAGAACTTAATGTGCAGGAATGGCATTCTAGCACCCATTTTCAATAGAACTTAATGTGCAGGAATGGCATTCTAGCACCTATTTTCAATAGAACTTAATGTGCAGGAATGGCATTCTAGCACCTATTTTCAATAGAACTTAATGTGCAGGAATGGCATTCTAGCACCTATTTTCAATGGAACTTAATGTGCAGGAATGGCATTCTAGCACCTATTTTCAATAGAACTTAATGTGCAGGAATGGCATTCTAGCACCTATTTTCAATAGAACTTAATGTGCAGGAATGGCATTCTAGCACCTATTTTCAATAGAACTTAATGTGCAGGAAAGGCATTCTGGCACCTATTTTCAACAGAACTGAAGTTATCTGAATATACATTTTCTAGTATTGTTAAAAATGTGAATTCTGGCACCATTTTTCTTACAAAAAAAGCTTCACGTGTTATAACTTTTAACAGACTTAATTAGCACTTTTTGGCACAGTAATTGTGCCAGGTTAAGCATAAGGTTTGTATCTACTTACATAGGGCATTTCAGCATCTCTATTTCTCTTGATCATATTTTTCAATTCTGTTTCATTTAAAAGTCCATATTTGCAGATATGAAACCCTAAAGACCAGAATGGGGGAAAGTAAGGTCGTCCAACAATGTCTGTGTACTGTGATGCTACATCTAAGGGTGTTGGACCCAGCATAATGAAGAAGTCGAGAATTCCTCCTATCATCCTGTAGGTGACAGCTCCATTAACACTGGCCCCAAAGGGTTGAAGTGCTGCCTCTATTTAAAGCATTTAAAGCAAAAATAATATTATGTATGTATACATTAGAACTGTGTTTTAAATATAATTATCACTTGTAATATTTTGTAGACATATAAATTGCATTTATAAGTGGACTTGTATTATAAGTTATTGATATTGCAACATTCATTTTTTTTTAAAAAAAAAGGTTTTTAAATGAGATACATTATCTCAGTGAGTGTACATTTTATACATTAATTTTTTCTTAAGATACAGATTTTTTTTAACACACTGAGATGAAAATTGTTTTACAAAATCACCTCCAGCATTACTGTTTAGCAAGAAGACACCATGAGCATCAGATGGACCATCGTGGGAATCAATGGATGGCTCTAAATTTAAGAAAAAAGGATGCGTGCCATAGCCATTGTTGTCTACCTTTTAAAAGTCAAGGAAATTATACAAGTTAAGAAGAATATATATATTTATATATTTATATATTTATAATAAGAGGGTTTGTCTTTGAGCCTTAGGTAGGCCATGTGTCTCCTAATCTGGTTTATTTAATGACACCTAATAGTCTATTTTGATATGAGTCCACGTGACAAAGATGACCTAAAAGGAAAGCCTTGCAGACTTTCTGACTGACTCATTACTATACATCGTTTAAATATTTTGAACCACACCAAAAGTGCAAAAGGTTAATTTGAAAGAATACTTAATGAAAGGCATCATATATTTATAACCTTTGGGACATCATCTCGGTTCCAGAAAGCAAGCCTCTTCCAGGTTGTAATGTCTTGAAGAAAAGTTCCCCTGTGTTCACCAAAGCCATATAAAAATTTGGTAGAAAGCTGAGTAGAAATCTGCAAAAACTGGTCTGAGAAAATCAAAGGGGATGTATTGGTTGTATCAAATCTGTAAATAAAGTGCATCAAGACAAACTATACTTTGAGTAGGTTACTATTGATCAATAAACTTAGACATTTCTTTTTTCTTATTTCAGCAATTATTTTGTATGTAATTTGAAAAGAATTAGTTTAGTCCAATAAAACTTTGCTAAACAATTAAATGGTGTAACCTGCATAAATGCTGAATGAAAGAAACATAAAGAAGACAAAAATGTCATTTTAAAAAATTTCATATTTACAATTAACTTAGAGTAATAGGAGAATAATTTTTACTATTTTCTACAAATTAACCAACTTCGATCAGATTTTATTTTAAAATTATTTTATCTTTAGAATTTCTAATGTTTAAATTTCTAAAACATACATGATTGCACCCGTTGAAACTCGCCTCACAATGATATTAAATGGTGCCCTTTGAATTGTGACATTGAAAAGAGGATTTAGAACAGCATGAGACCCTGATGGTACATCTAATGGAACTTCATATCTGGCACTGTTGGGATCATAAAACTGTAAAACATTTAAAATGACTTCATATACATAATTGTGAAGAGAATTTATTCTTGATAAACTTACTTCTTGCTTGTCTAGTATGTCAATGATTATGTTATATGAGTGTGTATGAGTATGAGTGAAATCTTAAATCATTAAAATGTAAAATTATAGTAAATTGTGATTTAAATAAATTTTAATTCTTAAATAAAATTAAAAGTTGATTATAACACAATACAACAGGCCAGAATTCAGAATCAAATCACTGTTTTCAACTTTTTTTAAACACATAATTAATTTGATTTTACTTTAACTTTGACTTTAAGATATTGAAAGTGAAGTTTAAAGTAGCTAAAACAAAGGTGGGCAAACTACAACCCACGGGCCACATGACCCCCACAATGCCATTTTATGAACCCTAAACCTATGTACCTAGGCCTGTCCTGTGAGTGACAACAATAATAATATGCAGCCTTAATGGTTAAAAATTCATTACAAATAATATATATTTTAATTTTCATCACATCCAGCAATCCACCATCACTAGAATTTTGACTATATTAAAATTATTGGTATTATTTGGCCTTAGGCCCACTCATCTCATAGATTTCCGTCCGTGTTATTTCATGACTCAAGCATTTTCCGCCGCAATTTAAAAGGAGAAAATTAAAATTTTACCTACGCCTGCTCTAGCAGTCTAGACTTAGAATTAACGTCTAATTTTAATTACATGCGTTGTTGTAAAGCAGATATCAGAACAGCGTTCGGCTAATTTGAAGAGATAGCACCCTGATGTCATTTGCGTGTTTTGTCCCTGGTTCAGATAGGGTCAAAACCCTGGTTCAGATAGGGTCAAAACCCTGGTTCCGATAGGGTCAAAACCCTGGTTCCAATAGGCAGGGTCAAAACCCAGGTTAGGGATAAGGTTAGGGTTCAGGTTAGGTATACATTTAGGGTTCAGGTTAGGTATACATTTAGGGTTCAGGTTAGGTTTAGGGATGCATTTAGTTTAGGACATAAGTAAAAAAGTTCATGGGTTGCGGCAACCAAGATGGCGGCCAGAGTGTTATTTATCCAAATTTATCCAGCGTCCCATTTTTAATTACATGCATTGACCGCATTCATAGTTGTAAAGTAAAGCAGTTATCAGAATAGAAGAGGGAGTGAGGGTGGGAGGTGTGTAGTAGCCTGTAACCGTAGGCGTAGCCTGTAACCGTAGGCGTAGCCCGTAGCCGTAGGTCAATTTTCACCATTTTCGGCAACTGCTGAGCTTGTTATTTCCGTTCATGGCACACACTACTAGTACTAGTAGGACTATTCTAAGATTCCCACTGACCTTAAAATTAAGGCATTACTGAGGAGTGTGTATTTCCTAAGTCAGTTAATTGGTACACGACTCATTTAGTATACATACATCATACAGCTTACTGGTTGTTGTAGTTAAATTTAAAGTTTACTAATAAATAAATCCTTACCTTTATTCGCAAACGAGCTTCCGTCTGGTAATCAACTCGCAATTTTATTATTGTAACATCACTTGAAAAGAATGACCTGGTGGACCTAACGAGCGTTGCTTCAATCCCTGTTGTCGTCACATTTACTTGTGTCACATTGTATCCACTGTAATTTAATGGGAAGTAACACACTGGCTGTGAGTTCCTGTTTAAAGAAGATTTCCAACAACATCCTCTTGCAACACAAGCCTGCTCCGTTGCTTGACTCCTCTCCGGCCAACAATCAAATCTATTATTCTCCTCTAAACTGCATGCGTCGGTATGGTTGGACGAGTATTCGCTCTCAAGTTTTGGGATGCCTACATGATATTGGCGAAAAATCAGAGTCATACAAAATAGGAGGCTGAGAAACAGCAGTGAGTTGGTGAATCTCGAAGTTTTTGGCAAAACTTGCTGATGCCTCATTTTTTAATTTTTTTTTAATTTTTTTTTTTTTTTTTTTTTTTTTTTGGTTTTTTTTTTTGTTTTGTTTATTTTTTTTTTTTTTTTTTTTGTGTTTTTTTTTTTTTTTTTTTTTTTTTTATTTTTTTTTTTTTTTTTTTTTTTTTTTTTTTTTTTGGGTATTTTATCGAGTTGAGTAAATTGTTTTCATTCTTCCCTCGGTTGATGATGCTTATTACTAATATAACATTGCAAATGAATTGTGGCTACGTTAAAATTATCTGATAAGATGCAAATCATAACTTTTATGAACACCTTATAGATAGCCTACATTAACACTGTACATAGCCCTACCTACTCAGCCGACTGTCATGACGGATTCTCAAATCGGGAGTAGCGGAGCCAACCTATAACAAGTAGGCCTATTTCGCAAACACCTTCTGGGATGATTGTCTACCTTATTTTCCAGTTAATGCATAATGGCTGCGTTGCTTAGGGTTGAAATGGCTAGAAAGACTTTGACTTTGTATGCTTGTAATTAGTTTTTGTAATGTTACGTTTGTTTTAAATGTGGTAAATTATAGATTTGTTTTTTGTTGACTCTGTACCACGCTTCGAGCCTTTGGGGATGAAGCGTGTTTTTTAAATGAACTTTATTATTATTATTATTATTATTATTATTAGAAACACATACAACTCCGTTGAGCGGAAGAAATAAAGTGCTTGACTGAATCATGAGTCTCCCCTTACTAAAGGATGTTTCAAATGTACCGCATAATAAGCCCCCAAGATCCATCTATGCTTCTATTGTCATAACTTTAACAAGTTGTCTGTCACCTGGGACACAGTTAATGTGTGATAAAATGAGATTTAAAAAGGGAAAAGTATGAACGAGCGTTGGAGTTGGAGGCCTAGAAAAAATGACTGTCTCCAGACCAGTGCTCCTCACATTTTTTTCAACGCAGGCACACCTACACCCTCCCAGATTCCCGCGGCACACCAAAATTAAGAGGGGGGGGGGAAGCATCACGTATTTACTGAGCCATTTCCCTTGAAATATAAAATTAATAAATTCCATTTACAAGGAATTTAGTTTTGCATCATTTTAAATTTAATTTCTTCATTAGTAAATATATATATAGATATATATATTTAAAAGGTACCAATGCTACGTACCGGCACTCACCGTCACAAACACGCATTTACTAAGTACAGTGGTTCCAGTGTGCGTCAAGTGAGTTGTATTTAGGTTCAGGGTTGAAGTTGCATGGCTAAAGAAGCAGTTGGTTGATTCTGACTTTTTGTTTCTTGTTCAAACATGAAAGGTGTAGCCTATTTGGCTGCACATTTTATTTCGTTGTCTTATTGTCATCGCTCTACGCGTTCAATCCTTTAGTCCAGGCCTGCACAACGTGCGGCCCGCTTTCCCCCCAATGTCCTATTTTCTTTTGGCCCGTACAAGTCCTGTCTTATTTTCATTTGGGCCGCACAAGTTTTTCATAAAGTATTATGGCCCGCCTTATATTTTAGTCATCTGGGCTCCAAGGGGCCCAGACCAACTACAATCACTATCTATGAACAATGTGTTGATAGCTATGCGGCCCTGTGTTGACAGTACACAGGGCCCCAAACGCCTTAATCCGACCATGCATCATACTAAGGAAAAATATCTTAGTGCAAACACATGATAAAGGTTGATTTATTATAAGACCAAGGGTAACAAATCCCGAGGGGCGGCATCAAATCAAATCATTGAAATTATAATTATAATAAGAGTGTTATTTAAATTTGACTAATAATGCTTCTCCTGTGTCCTAACTTCTGGAAGTTGTGCTTGAATGAATTATTTTTTTTTAGCTCAGGAAGGCTAAAGAATACTTTTTGTTTGTTTTAATCTAATCCTATATTATTCCAGATCTCAAAGAGGCCAGCACTGAGCTTGTTATTTTATGTCAACCGCTCGTCATCAAAAGAAAAGATGTCTCGAATTTCGCCCTGGTCTACGGCTTGTTTTTTTTTTTGTTTTGTTTGTTGATTCCACTTCGCTCCTTTTTTCCCCATCCAATATTTCTATTTAACCGGGTCAGAATATTTAGGTTTAATGCACTTCAAATGATTGAGCCAATTTTTTCTGAGCTCCATTATATTACAATAATGAGTAGTTATTGATGGTAAAATAATAGTAAGCATTGCGTCTTTTAAGCCATTTCTTTTCGTTACACGTGGCCGAAAATGTCGCCTATGTCTACATTCTATATTCTATATATCAAGAAAAATGTAAGTAAAATCCAACTTTTCCCTACTCTAATGTTGCCACATCATTCCTCAATTCTAGATATTCCTCTTTAACCTGAAGGTTGAGTTCTTATGTAGAATGTTGTGCGTATCAGGCAAAAGGATTTCTGATCCATTTGCAGCTCTATATTTGCTGTATAGAAGTAAGGGTCAAATGGTTTCTGCAGTAACGTTAGATGTTGTTGCAGCAAGTTTAGATGTTGTTGGAGCAAGTTAAGTTATTGTAGCAAGTTTATATATTGTTGTAGCAAGTTTAGATATTTTTGCAGCAAGTTTAGATGTTGCTGTAGAAATTTTAAACGTTGCTGTAGTAAGTAAAAAAAAAACAAACAAAAAAACAACCGCTTTGCTTGTTTGCGATGGCGGTCGAGTTAGTTCGTTGGTACATCTCTAAAGATACTTGACGTAACCTTGTTTGCCATAGTTCGAGTTTCTGGTTGAAGCCATTTCATTTATCGGGTGATAAATGAAGGACTGCGACAGACAGGACACATGACAAAATGACAAGAAATAGGAACTATTTCAAAAACTTCAGTATTCGCCATTGTTATTGGCGGAAGTTCATCGGAGCATGTATACAATACATGTATGTAATTTATCGGAGCATGTTGGTAGATTCGCATTCCGACCTTGAATAGTTCAGATGTTCAGACAAGTCAGCTATGTATGCAAGTTTGGAAAAAAAACTCTGTATCTTATTCAACACAACAAAATATTCTAAATTCTAATGTTTATCTAATTGTATTTGGTTAGCGCGTGGATGTCTATGTATAAGTACGCGATGTTTCGATATGATAGCAGGTGCACTCGTATTGGTGGCCAATCCGTGGACCTGCAAGTTAAATTTTGCGGCCCGCCAGATGTTTCAAAACAGAACAGTTTACTTCATTAAAGTATGTGCACTTGTTGTGACGGTACGCACCGGTGCGGCATACCAGCTCCTATTTGGTCTGAGTTTTTAACAAAATCCAATTCAAACTAGCATTCTCAAATCTTATATACAAATTATAAAACATTATTATTTAGTGACTAAAACACAACTATGTCAATTGTGCTAAGTTAAATTCAGGTATGCTCCAAAATTCATCCCCGCATTTACGCAAAGATCTGTGGCTGTTCTGCGCCCCTTCGTGAAGAATAGGTTGCATTGTAGTATAAAAAAGAAATTATGCAATTTAAAACTATACCCAAGAAAAGAATAATAATATAACAGTTAATTAACAATTAAGACCCTTCCGATTGCAAACATGTTTATTTGTTGTTGTTTTTTTAAAAAATGAGTCAGTCTCTCTCACTAAATAAGTAAATAGTATGTATAAAATAATGTGTAAAGATCAAACGAGCTTCCTTTTCAAAGACTTCCTGGACGACTTCGATTTCCTTTTTCTACTTCTACTTCTACTTCTATCAGTCATTTTTCCTAATTTGCATTTGCACCGATATCTTGCTTTCTGCACTGTGCAGTCTTTATGCATTGTGGAGCATTTAACAACTGAGTTTTCCCGTTCCTCTGAACGCGGTGTGCATTTGTTACATCTATAGCATTCTTTGTTCCTGGATGCAGACTTTGTGATTTGACATTTGTATCGCCTGTCAGGAGGCATGTACTGTGGTCGTCTGGCGACAGTGTACCTGCAGAGATTTTGATCGTTCTCCGGACTCGGGGACCTGTCCCACGTGATCTGCCGCCTGATCTTTATCTCCTTGACCAGATCGTAGTGGACAAGCGAGGTGTGCATCAGGTAGATGGACTGTCGGTGTACTCTGCTCGCCGGGGACGTCAGGTCGAGGTTGTGCTCCACCCACTGCCAGGTGTCGCCGTGGATGGTGTAGACGAAAATCTTGGTCTTCAGGAGGTGGGCGGCCGCCATGATCTCCACGTCGGACCCCCACGTCCCCCTCTGGGCCATCCGTGTCTGGTACAGGTAGTTGTTTGGGTTGTCTTGGAAGCGCTCGTGGAAGAGGACGGAGAACGCCTTGCCGTTGCGCATGATGTGGTTGGCGATGATCTCCCGCAGCGTCTCGTGGAAGGCGTCCGACCCAGTGATGGCCAGCGAGAAGCAACGGAACAGACAGTTCCCGTCCCCGTGGGTGGCGTGGATGCTGGCTGGAACGTAGTTTCTCAGGTGCAGCTGGCGAGAGGGGGTCTTAATGTTTAAGTAGCGGACGAAAGTCAGTCCCAGTAGCCTGCTGTGTTTCTTCTGCCAGTAGTTACTGACGGGCAAGTAAATGGGTTCGTCAAGACTATTCCCGCTATTTGCGATGCAGTAACGGGTGTCTCTGTGAGACATCCTGTCTTACTGGAAATAAATTGAAAGTAAAGGCTGCAATATCAGAATCACGTGATCTATCGACTCAGTGTTTCAATACTCTCGTCAAATAATGTCATATTAAGTCTTAGTATGCTTTGCTATCGGGGGGTTGGGGGGGGTGGGAGGGGGTTGAAAAGAAAGAGAGAGAGAGAGAGAGAGAGAGAGAGAGAGAGAAGGGAGAGAGGGTGGAGGAGAGTGTGGGGGGGGCTGAAGAACGACTAATGCAGGGGGGGCTGAAGGGACCATTTTGAGATCGAGTCCGCACTTAGGGTTGGGGGGGGTGGGAGGGGGTTGAAAAGAAAGAGAGAGAGAGAGAGAGAGAGAGAGAGAGAGAGAAGGGAGAGAGGGTGGAGGAGAGTGTGGTGGGGGCTGAAGAACGACTAATGCAGGGGGGGCTGAAGGGACCATTTTGATATCGAGTCCGCACTTTGTAGGCCGCATGTTATTACATCTTTGAAATAAAATAAATACCCAAATACACAATGTATAGAGTTGTGCAATTAATCTTTATGCTCGCAGTTTTTATGAATAATAAATCATATGTACCGCACACGCACATCAAAAAAATGTATAAATTAAGATTTGCTTAACTTAACCAAAGAGCAACAGATGAGACGCAAGTGGAACTTCAGGTAATATAGTTTTAGTTGGTACTACATACGGTACCGGTAGTAATTTTTTTTGTTTTTTTTAAATCTCTGCAGAAACGTACCGGTACGCCATACAAGCATGTACCGTCCCAAAAAAGCACTGCATAAAGATATACAGATATAATTCATTGAAAAGGAGTGACTAGTTTTATTAACATTATGAAGTGAATAATCATATGATGCGGATTTTTAAAGTATACTAAGCGTATAGAGCCACTTAAGTTCCCAAGTCGATTTAATCAACATCAGATGTAGGCCAACATCACGCAGTTCAACCAGAAGCAAACGCAACCTACTAAGATCCCGTGGTGTTGAAATCTAGTCAGCCAGTGCCGGAAAGTTGAGAAAGCGCTATTCGCAGGAGTCTCAACATTGCCACGGGTGGTAGCCGTAATTGGTTTCAATACGCCACTGTTTCGCAGAACTAAGTTTGATCTACCATTCGCCAGCGTAGCTGATAGTGTGCACCGTGATGATCAAGGCGCTTTGACAAATTGATATATTTTAAAAAAAAACAAAACAACAACACCAGAGAGTGTGGTTAGATTTAGTTATTTCCGCTCTTCAGCTTGGCGTCACGGCGTTCAACACCGGTTGCCTATAGGTGCCTGCGCCGCTACAAAGCTATATATTTATAATAAATGAAGAACTGTTTTCAAGCGGTGTGAAGCAAATGTTGTTGTTCGTCCTTCGCGAGCGAAAAAAACAAAAGTTGTATTACGCGGCGAGTTCGCAGGAAGCCTACACCAGTCCTTTTTTTTGTGACTGGAAAGCTTTCCCGCACGTGGGACACCCGTTGTTTTTGGGTCCCAGTAGGGTGTGAAGCGACTTTGCTTTTTATTTTTACCATGCGCTCTCTTTGAGCGTGAGCGGTGCACTTATATTCTTATAGGACTTTGCTCCGACAGTGAGTCTGCCACGCCAGCTTGCACGATCCATGACAAGTTTAGTGTCTTCCACGGATCAAGGTCAATTTCCATGGATTAAAGTGAAGCTTATAGACAGTCCTTGAAGCGTTGTTTTTTTCTGCCCTCAAACTGGGTGCTTCCCACAGGAGAGTTTACCGAAAAATAGTCGTTTGGGAAGTTTGCTGTTTGGCATTCTTGTGACATGTCCTGTCCACCTGGCTTGTCCTTTTTTTGTAGGAGCTGGTGGATTCTGATAAAAATCGGCCCGTTGTAGAACCTCTGTATCAGGGAGTCTGTCCTGCCATCTTATGCAAAGACGTTTACGCAGACAGCGTAGGTGGAGATGGTTTAGCTGTCTTAGTCTAGCATGTCTGCTGCACACTGCCCACGTATCGCTAGCATGTAGGAGAGATGTTAATACGACTACCTTCTATACCTTCAGCTTGGTGACAAGACTGAGACCCCTTCGCTTCTACACACTCCAGCGGAGCCTTCCAAATGCAACATTTTGTTTGCAAATTCGGTTATGATTGATCTTATCATCAATTGTTGCTGTCCTGGAGAGTTGATGCTTAAAAATTAGGTGAATTTTAAAAATTGATTGGAGATTCTGTATCTTCACTGATATTGTAGGTTCTTTGTAAGCTTTCCATGGAGCTGACTGGTGCAATGTCTCTTTTTGAAGGAAACAGTGGGGCAAGGTAGAGTAGTAGATGATTGAAATATAAAAACTGGACAATAAAAGGAAATCAAACGTTTCAACTAAGAACCTTATTCAGCAGACAGGAAAAAAGAAAACAAACAACAACAACAACAACAACAACAACAACTACAACAACAACTACAAATAGAAAACTGTTCACAAACTAAGTGTTTGGAGTTTGCCATCAGTACCATGTTATATATCTATTATATAAAGCTCAGTGGGACTACATTTGTAAATGGGTCGCTTGATCACAAGAAAACCGAATAGTGGATCTCAAACAAATTTTTGACATGGTCATTCCTCGTGACCTATTGATTGAAAGTAATAAAGGGCCGTCAGTATAAAGCACTTCACGTCCGGAGGGTTGGGGGGGGGGGGGTTGGTCTAAGAAAGTCTGACGGTTTGTGATCCGGGGGGGGGGGGGGGGGTGTTAAAGATATCGTGTGACGTCACACCCGTTATTTATTTTTGTATTATACAAACCACAAATAAAACATGAAATCGACAGAGATGTCGAACTTTCTGTTGTGAAGGATGTAGTCTGACAGAAGATGTCATTTTTATACGTTTATAGTGAAGTGTGTTTCAGATTTAATTTTAACTAGTTTTTTAAAAACATTTTTTTTTTCAATTTTCGCAAGTATGACGTACAGTGGGGCGGGTTGTCTGAGATTTGTGATAGATTTTAACCCGGGGGAGGGGGGTTCAAACATTTATCAAAATCCACGTGACTTAATTTACCTAAATAGTTACTTCGAGCGAGCGACGTTCATGAAAGTACAATTCGTTGAATGTTTTTTTTTTTTTTTTTAAAGAGGTGTTGAACATCAGATTAAAATTATCACACGGTTCAGTGGTGCGTATAAAGGGTGTTTTAGCATAGCTAGGGTCTTAAAAGTCATTGGGGCTATTTTATCTATTACCAACTTATCATAGTGGATGTGTGGCGTAAGAGTGAATCGTAAGTTTGTGATTTAGTTGATTATAAATCCCCTTGAAACGGCCAGTTAGAGAACCCTGATTGTAAAGCCCTTTGAAACGGTAAGTTAGAGAACCCTGATTATAAATCCCCTTGAAACGGCCAGTTAGAGAACCCCGATTATAAATCCCATTGAAACGGCAAGTTAGAGAACCCCGATTATATATTTATTTATTTATTTAGACATTTTTATATAGCGCTTATCATAAAGCTCTAAGCGCTTTACAATTATTAAAACATGTAAACTAAGTAAATACAAATGAGACACTAGGATAGTAACTACTATTCTATATATATTCTATATATCCCATTGAAACGGCCAGTTAGAGAACCCTGATTATAAAGCCCATTGAAACGGAAAGTTAGAGAACCCTGATTATAAAGCCCATTGAAACGGAAAGTTAGAGAACCCTGATTATAAAGCCCATTGAAACGGAAAGTTAGAGAACCCTGATTATAAAGCCCATTGAAACGGAAAGTTAGAGAACCCTGATTATAAAGCCCATTGAAACGGAAAGTTAGAGAACCCTGATTATAAAGCCCATTGAAACGGAAAGTTAGAGAACCCTGATTATAAAGCCCATTGAAACGGAAAGTTAGAGAACGCTGATTATAAAGCCCATTGAAACGGCCAGTTGCCCGATTCAGCTGGTTTTGGTTCTGCAGAACCAACAGAGTCACCCATCAGGGGTATGTGAGTTTATGTTAAAATATCATCCCGGTAGAATTTACAGGCTCGCTATATTATCGCCTTAGCTGACCGGTAAGCCATGAGTGGCGTAGTTTAGCATCTTTGATACAGGTAAGCCTTGAGAAGCGTGGCTGAGCATCTTTGATAGGTAGGCAAGAGATGAGTAGAATAGCATCTATGATAATGAGGGTGCTGGTTGGTCGAGCTTATGGACTTGAGTTTGATCCCCAGCTAACCCTAGACAAGCAAAAGGTGTGGATGGGACTCCTTAACCTTGGATGACAACCTATACAAAAATGTTTATTGGGTAATCTAAGATTCTTATCCTCTGCACAGTTACGGCCCGTATGTTTGAGTATAGCATCTTAGATTAGCTTACTAAGCATTGGGGATAACTCACAAGGGGACAAGTCATCTTTTATAAACTAGGGCAATAATAGAGATTGAACCAATGCAACATGTTTGCTGCATCTTCACATACTACTTGATGCTGTTCAAATGGGTCACACCACAAAAAGGCAAACCATCAATCTTTTCTATTTTTTTTAAAAACTATGAAATCCAATAAAAAACACAGTTTACAAAAAACAAAAACTGACCAAGTAATGGTTTTTGGAAACGAAAATTCCCATATTTTTTTATTACTCAGGAAATGGATGTTATCACAGAAAAAACAAAACAAAACACACGCACACATTTCTCATTACATTAAATTAAAACATGAAATTATTCTCCAGTGTTCTCAAGGTCAAGGTCTGGCTTTCAGCTCAGCAGTCCCCTGACGGTTTCGAAAAGTTGATGCTGACTACAGAGGTTTAACCACTTTTTCACATTAGCTGGAGAGCTGGACGCCTGCCCTGTCTGCTGAAGTGCTGACCAGCAACAGAAATCGGCTATGCTGGGCTCGGTACCTATAAGCCAGTCGCGCTTACCCAGGGTCGAGTTTAATGTTCTAACTGCGGCGGCCTTCTCCTTCGAGTTTCCCTCCAGGATCTGGAGCTGTGCGGTGTCGAGCAGATCATCCACCTGAGTGGCTTTAATGATGTCAGCTTGGTCCCAGGCAGGATTCAACAGGCGTGCCAGGTAACGTGCAACATTCACCTCACCCTGGATTGGGGTTTGCCTGCTTGGATCTACCACAAGCTCTGGTCCATTGGCAACTGTTGCAAAGAAGAGAAGATAATAATTAAGTGTAAATTCACGATGAACTTTCCTCTACTTTGCTCACCAAATCTATTCTCTTTCCATTTTAAAAGCAACAATTATTGGGACGGTATTTAGCCAGGTCATCTCCTAAAGTGTAGGTCATATTCAAGTTCTCCTAACAACTATAGTAAACTGCGTCCGGTAAAAAAAAAAAGGGAACCCCTTTTTTATAACGAAGAAAACTAATAATGGTAAATAAACATTAATTTTGTATATTCTAAAACCCATTTTGAGTCTAAAAATGTTAAATTTACATTTTATTAAACCATGTCTTGTGTTCGAAGTGTTTACCATTAGCTTTAACACATGCTCTCAGCCTAGAATTTCAACTAGTGTTTTTCATCATAACCAAAAGGGATCTCTTTTTTTTTCTTTCCGGACACAGTGTAGAGGATGAACAAGAAATTGTCAGCAGGTAAATGCCACTGTTACCGTACTTTTCTTCCACACGATGCTGATGGCTATTTGGCTGTCCCCCCTTTTCACACCTCCGTTCGAGTTCAGTAAGTTCTTAAGTCTTTCTGGCACAATGGCTGAGGCACTCGAGTGGACAAATGTGGATTTCAGAATGACATACTGCTTGGACAGCTGCTCGCATAGAATCAGCAGAGAGAAAGGTATACTGGCCGGATTCACACTGATGACCAGGTCTAGGACTTTGTCGGTGGTAACCTGTGAGACGCAATAGCAAGGCATTTATCACCAATATAATAACTTGGGAGCAAATTTTAAAAAAATTACAATTTTTTGGGGGGGAAATAGCTTAACCACGAACAATATATAAAAAACAAACATTCACCATTTAACCAATTTATAAAACACAGTATGAGCAGTATGAAATATACAAGGACAGGAAAATAGATAAGGTAAACAAAAGTAATGCCAGTTTGTTTATTAAATCCTTGTCAATGAGAGATGGGGATGATTTATGATTTACTTTCAGTCATTAAAAGAGTGTGTACCATAAGAGGTAAGATTTAAATTGTACCCAAAAAATTATTAAAAAAAAATCAACATTGAATTATACCTGAGGCTTACTCTGACTCTGAACCCCAGCACTCACTGGTGCAATCCTTGCTGTCTGCTGTGCTAC